ACGAGTTAAAAATCAAGATACTTTTAATAACTTTTTAATGAATACATTATTTATCGATGAAAATAACAAAAAAAAAAATTTCTTACACATAAAATTTACACATTAATTTCACATAAAATTATAATTAATCACTTACTTTTTATTATAAAAAATTAAAAATTATCATAATTTTTAAATAAAAATTAATTAACTAAAAAAATTAAAATAAATATAAATAAATTTCAGTTATTTATAATAAAAAATAAATTATTAGAATATATATATTTTGAACAAAGATAATTTTTCACAAATATTCATACATTTTATAGGAGATAGAAAAAGGGAATCCTAAAGAACCGAACTCTAAAATTTTATATATATAATACATATGAAAATAATGCGTAAATAAAATTATCATAAGGAGGCCGGAATACTGAGTCAAATTAATTAAAAAAGAAAAAAAATGAGTGGGACAAGTACGTGTACTGTGATGTGGGCAATGGACTGACGTGGACGCCAAATGAAACACCACGTGTACGAACGAAGTTTCTGGAGTATTTTTGGAATTAATTCTTTTGGGACAAATCCAACCTCCCATTTCTTGCAGTCTCTTACAGATGAAGTGATGTTTATTTTCTTTTCTTCGTCTTCTTATTTTTCAAAATTTTTTCCTTTATGTGAGCTTTTCTATAGGTAAAGGTAAAAGACTTGGAAAATAGAAAGTCTCTTTCTTTAGGATATTTTAATATATGATAGTGTTATAAAGATAATTTTATATATATATATAATTTTCACATGTTGTTAAATGAATTAATGTATTTAATATCATAAATCTTATATAAATTAAAAAAATTAATTATTTTAATGATACATCAAGTTATACAAAAAAAAATAAAACAAAAAATTATATAAAAAAACATTTCCCTTTAATCCATCATGGAGTAGAAAACATATTATTTTCATTATTTTTAAATTACTATTAGTTCCCTTTTAGGTAGACAATAAAAGAAAGATTATTCTACTATAAAATTGTTCTTTAAAAAATGGTTAATATTCTTTGTGCAAGTTGGATACTTCAAATCCTATGTGCTCTCACCTAAATTAATTGCATATAAAATTTCTAATAGATATGCTTTTCACAAGTTCCATTACAATACTAAAAAGAGAGAATTTTCTAACCAAGTTATAAGACTATAGCAGTAGTGGTAATTAGGTCGGGTCTTCGAGGGTTGGCTAAGATATTATAATTTGGAAACTTCAACTTTTTAGATTTTGCATCGTAAAATACAAAATATATGTATGATACACCACTTAAACTTATTTTTTTTTTTTTTAACATGGTGAATTTTGAGAAATTTTCACCACCAAGGCATCTTGAAAGTGAATCGTATTTCATGAATATGATATCTATCTAGTGTGATGTATGGAATATATGAGAGTTTTTTTCAAGTCATTACTAAAAATTGAATTTTCAATTAATTAAATTTAAACAGTAAATCTTTAAATGAACTATTAAACTAAAAAGTTCAATTCTAAACTTAATTTTTTGTATTATAAAAAAACCTATTATTATATTATTTAAATTTAACTTTAACTATTGATTCTGAATTTTAAATCTCATAACATACGGTATCCGGCGTCAAAAATGATAAGCAAAGCAGAAAAAATGCTACTGACGAATAGGTTTTGGTATGACTCTGCCCAATTGTTGGACTGTTACTCTAAAAATCTGGAAATTTCAATGCCGCTAACAATTGAAATTGAAATATTTTTGTGGTGTCCACGGTCTTGATTTCTCTCGACCCACACATCGTCGTTGTCGTCGTCTTGTCGTGGAACACGAGCAAATCATTTGGTTCTATATATATATCTTCAAAAAATGATGCAAACAATGAGTGTGAATTTATTTATTTATTTATTTATTATTATTATTTTTTTTTTTTTTGGCTTTCATTGAGTAGTGCTAATCAATAGTCTGAGAGCAACTTTGCCAATTCGTCGTCTTCCACTGCCCAAAAAAATTCCAGATCTTTCGTATACATTATCCATGGAATGATCCTATTGTAGATTCCTCTCCAATTTAAATGAGAAAAACATATGTTTATATAATAGTATATAAATAAAAAAATTATTATAACAATAACTATTAAATAAATCATGTGTTCACTGTAAGTAAAAATAAATCTTATATATAAAGATATTATTTTTATAATTTGATATATTTTAAATTATTATAATATATATTGATAAATCAAAAACTATTACGATAATAACATCGAGTAGATGAGCGATATTTATTAAATATAAAAATAAGTCTTACATTTAAAAATTTATTTTTACGATTTAATACAAATTAAATCGTAAAATTAAGTGGCTAAATTGAAAACAATATGAAACACATGGGCGTCGGCTAATGTGAAATTTGAGACCTTGTTGATTAACAGGTGAGTCAACTTAATGGGGTTTTTGAAAAATCAAAAAGTAAAGTTTTGACTACTTATAAACCATTGACAATCACTTTATATAAAGCTTGAATTATATGAACCGACAACTCTCTTATCACCACTTTTGTGTAATGGTGTGTCCATCATTTTTCAATTAACGATCTTTACTTTCATTACCAATAGTGATGTAAAATATAAAATAAAACAAATAATGATGTAAAATATTACTACTTTGAGTCCATTTCACTTATCCCCATTATATTAAAAAAATTATAGAGATTCGTATAAGTATAATTAGTTTTTATTGAAATTTTATGTTTATATTTATTAATAAAGTTTTTGTAATTTATACTTTTAAGAATATTTTTTTATTATAAATGTATATAAAAATTAACATTAATTTTAACATTATTACTAAATGAATGAATTTAATTAAATGATTATTTGTTATGTTTACTGAACAACATTCTTCATTTCCTACAAAATAGATGACTTCAGTTTTTATGTATCCCCCTTCTCCAATACCAAAAAAATGTTGGACAACATGGATCATGTGGATTTACAATTGTTTATATATGGGTGAGTTACGTTGTCAAAAGTAATACTTCCCCTCGTAACATTTATATTTTTCTTAAAGCAAGATTTATTTTTTTTTTATCTTGATTATATAACGAGAGGTAACGATCATTCATCTCTTATTTCACTTCACTTACATATTATGTGATTTGAATTTAAAATTTCTTACTTATAACAAAATAAATATATAAGAGTACAACAAGAATAATTTTTAATTTTCTTTTCACTTCATTTTTCTTCAAATTCCATAACATTTTCATCACCTTTTAATTTCTTGTAAACCAATGAAATGAAAAAAAAATAATTTACTATCATATAATTTTGTTTGACTACTACTTTTGGCTAAGACCAAGTTTTTAGATGAGTCAGGAATAAATAACTTGCCAAATACATGACAATTATCTTAAGCTAAAGGGTGTGAGATTACATTTTGGCAGCAAAGTTAGATCATTATCTTTTCTTCTTCTTCTTCTTCTTTTTTTTTTTCCTTTTTAGAGTACACACAGTACTGCACATTATAACAATTGTGCATAACTACAGTCCAAGAAAAAAAAAAGCTAACTACAAAAATAGAACTAACAACCTTAATTAGGCATGATATTCTTCTTTATGGTAAATTAGATATTGATTTTTTTTTTTTTTTAAAGAAAAGCACATCCTATAGCTATTGATGAGATGTGGATTGATGTGAATTCCTTAAATGTAAAGATTACCATTTTTTTTTTTTTTTGGAATAGGTTACAATATAAGAGAGGGGGATTTTAACTTCAATAATAAAATTAAAAATATATATTTTATAATAAAATATATAATTATTAAATTACAAAACTTAAATACAGAGATTTTTTTTTGTTAATAATTATAAAATGTGCAGTTGAATAATAACACACAAACAGCTGTTTTTTTTATATAAATTTTATTTTTTTTATAAGTGTATATAAATTTCTTATTGAGAAAAGAAAAGAATTCCTGGTGAAAAACAGGAAACTTCAAAAGAAAGACAAGACATGTTGATTCGTAGAGCAGAGAAGAAAACTGAAAACTGGTTTCAATTTCAGGGCAAAGTTGTGGTCACTGTTTAATTTGTTAAAATTATCAATAATTGTTAAATTTTATTTTAATTTAGTTATTAAAAATAATTCATATTTATTATAGGTTAAATGCTCATTTTGGTCCCTCAACTTTAGTGGTTTGCACATTTTTGGTCCCTTGAGAATTTTTTGCACTTTTTTGATCCCTCAACTATAAGAAATGCACTCCGTTAGTCCTTCTGTTAATTTCGATCGTTAACTCGCTTATGTGGCATTTTTTATAATTTTTTTGATGACGTGGCAAAGACAAATGAAAAGCATATTAAACGTGGAATTTTTTTTATGCCAACTCACGGTATTTTTATTTTTATTTTTAAAGAATAAAATAAAATAATTCCTTTCTCTTTTTCTCTTTTTTTTCTTCCTCCTCTTTCTTCTCCTTCTTCCTCTTCTTCCTCGGGTTCCATCGAACCCTCTGCTGGGTTCGATGGAACCCAG